TAGGAAAATATCTTGGTCTTTACTGATCCCTAATGGATCAACCAATAAATGATAACAATTTAGACTAGTGCATCAAAACCAACAAAGATTCTTTCGGGAACCATAAGATCCCTTGTTCTTTTTGATGTATTCTAGTTACATAGTTTTATGTTTAAACATTCCTTTTCAAGTTCTTTTGTTCCTGAACATTATAGTCTTGCTGAAGAACGTCCTTCTCCAACTAAGACAGTTTCTTATCTATTAAATCAGACATAGAAGTTATCTGCATTTCTATTTGACTTACCATCCAATTCAATGAAATTAAAAGTTTTGGAATTTTTTGCATGGGAGAAAATACTGGTGAAGTTCATATTCTTAGATTTATAATTGCTGTGGCAAATATTCAAAATGTTCAATAGTTTGAGTGGGGTGTTTTTGTACTTATAGTTTATAGAATCACCCATCTTCCAATTTAAATTCCTTCTTCAGAGATCAGAAGTCTCCCTGCCTTCAATACATCCATTAAATCCTAAAATCAAACATCATGTGATTTTATTTACTGCCAAATTATAACATAGGGGTGTCTAGAAGATTGCCCTTTTCCATGGATATTCCTACCAGAATGTTCAGATACTTTTAAAAATTATTTTATTAATTATTGATATAGTCTGTTCCCAGTTGACACCTCGGGAAATATGCTGCTCATATTCCCTAAACTGCTTTCTTCATTTATCTATCTTTCTTGTAGTACTTTATTCTTCTTTTTGAAAACAAGAGCCTTATAAGTTTCCTTAGAAAACAAACAATGATATCATTTTTTTTCTAATCAGCTTCCTCTCTCTCTCAAAAAAAAAGAAAAGGCAAAAGTTTGCTGGTATTAACGAAATATTCAATGGGACAAGGACCTAGAAGGGATGACAAGTCAATTCTTGTAAATCTTTAGTTTCTAGTAATTTTCTTTTGCTAGATTTCAGTTCACAGGGTTGTTGTTGTGGGGAAAATAGGAGAAGGGAGGTGTGTTGGATGTGTTCGCCATCTTGAGTTATTTGCAAAAATAATACAGGTGGAATATAATTAAATAAAAATAAAATCCCCAAAACTAATAATGATGACTGAGGCATCCTGAGTATGTCTGGTTGTTGAAGAGTGAATCAAGAGACATGGAGAAAGTGAAGAAAATGGGATATCCTAGAGAAACATCAGGGGGGATTAGCTGGAACATGGAAAATAACATTTCATCATTACAGTATTTTGTTCCACTTTTCACTTTAATAAGTGTCTTTATTAAAGAATTAAAATCTGAAACAAAATACCCTGTTTCCCCAAAAATAAGACATTCCCTGATAATAAGTCCAATCAGGCTTTTGAGCACATGCGCTAAAATTAGACCCCCTCCCCCCCAAAAATAAGCCCTCCCCAAAAATAAGCCCTCCCTGAAAATATTTAATCACATGTGCCTGCCATTTCCTCTGGTTAGGGTTAGGGAGATAGAGCTGAAAATCAGGTAAGATGGTAAGAGGAGCCTGTCTTGCTCCATGCATCCCAAAATAATAAGACCTCTCCAAAAACAAGGCCAAGCTCTTATTTCGGGGTTCAAAAAATATAAGACAGGGTCTTATTTTCGGGGAAACACGGTAAATACAAATGTACTGTATCTAATGGTTTGTCTTTCATTATTTTCTTTTTTTTTTAATTTTAAAACAAAACTTTATTCATTCTTAAAAACATTTAAAACATACAAGTTTCTCTTAGTCAAGAAACAAATTTACATATACAGTACACAACTTCACCTACTAACTAATTTTTCTTTCATTATTTTCTATTCCCTAAGCCCCCCCCCCCTTATTGCAACAAACATTGCTGAAATAGTTTACAATGTATTAGTAGGATTGGATGAACATTTCATTTTTTGAGGGAAATATAAGAATTTTGTATTTTCCAGATATTAATAATTGGGTTTCTGATGGGTAATTTTGGAGTTATGGCTGTTATTGTTTCAACAGTGCTAAAAAGCCATCAGAATGGATGAATGGATGATGGATGGATAAATAGTAAATCAATAGCCAGAAGAGAAATAAATAGTTACCATCAGCAATTTAGTGGCAATTTTGCTGTTGGCATTTGTGAAAGAAATGGATAAAAATTTCCAACTCGTCCAACATTTTATAGTTATATAAATTATTTTTTTCCTAAGTGAGGAAAAAGCCTGTAATTGTGAGCTGATTTATAGCAGAGAAATGATGGTGGATGCAGCATATACATTTTTCTAAGCATCCAGTTAGCAAACAACAATTAATAATGTAAAGAATCCTCAAACAACTTTCACTGTCTAAAATTCAAGACTACTTCTAAATGATACTTTTGGAACTTTGGCCTTTATATAATTATCTACCAGCATTCATATTCCTCAAATTCAAGTCTGCTCGTTTGTCTCAATGAGATTTTCAGAACAATCTTGACAACATCTGAGTATTTTATTTTTTATTGATTGATTCAATTTAAACGCCGCCCATCAAGTGACTCTGAGCAGCAGAATATCATAGTGAGTAGCACCCTAAATCTAAAGTTCATAATTTTTTTGGAGTTTGTGCTTTAATTTATTAGGCACGCTAACAATCAGTTGTTGTGAAGCAATTTGGTTAATTGATCTCAGATTTGGGATATAGAATAATTTAAACCATTTTCTAAAACCTACCACGGTCTTTATATGTTGATCCAATATCTAAAATGAATTGGGATTTTAGAAATGTTTACTTCTTTAAATTCATTCTAGAATTTGATTTCTTATTAAGCAATATGCATCTGCCATACATGCTCTGTGCAGGCATTCTTAAAAGTATTTAACTAAGCATGCAAACAGGGCTCAGCTAAATAAATAGCTTTGCCTACATCTGACATATCACATGATGCTTCTTTCCAATATCCACATGTATTCAGAGCATGAACTCTGCACCAGTTGAAGTTATGCAGTAATAAGGTTCTGGCTTAAATCAAGATCTCTCTCTCACTCCCTCCCTCCTTTCCTCCATCCATCCCTCTCTCTCTCTCTCTTCTCTCTCTCCTCCCTCCCTCCATCCCTCTCTCTCTTCTCTCTCTCCTTCCTCCCTCCCTCTCTCTCACTCCCTCCTTCCCTCCATTCAACCCCCTATCTCTCTCTCGCTCTTCCTCTATCTCTAACTCTTTATCTCTATCTCTCACTACCTATCAATCAATCAATCTATCAATCTATCAATCTATCAATCTGTCTGTCTGTCTACCTGCCTACATACCTACAGTAGTTGGGTTATACCTGCTTGCATTGTCCATAAAGAAGCCAGAAGGACATTATTTGGGATGATGTACATAATGTGGGATGAAACTCAGTTGGTACAATCGTGGTCTCAGTCCATAACATCTGTTTATACTTTCAGGAAAGAATACGCAAAGTATTCATGGATTTCACCACCAACTCTGTGCTTCAAGAGCTGTAATTTTTAGTCTGCATTTGATTGATTGACATATCGATGTAACAGAATCAGCAGACGCAGTGCTTTGTAAAATATGTCATAATTCTTTCCTCTGAGCAATTTCTGCTCTGAATAGCTTATGATATGGAAAGAACATGCCCTGAAAACATCTTTTTTCTGCACTATCCCTGCAACTTTGTCTTCTTCTTTTCTTTTTCATTCCCATTCATCGGTTGAGGGCATTTTACATCAACCATAGCCTGGTGTTTTCCCTCTTATTCTAACACTATCCAAGGGCAGCCCCAAGGAGTTTAAAATCTGCTATGCTTTGTCACACTTTATGTTGTAAGAAAGTCAGATGACTGCAGCTACTTGAAACAGAAAGATGAGGAGGGATTGGAAATGAGGACAGCAAATTTCACACCAGGCTACTTTTCTTCCATCCCAAGAATAGACAAAATGCATTTCAATTCAGCAATGAGGAAATAATGTTAATTCCAATGGGAATGGGAATTTTGTTTATTAAAGGCAATGTGGGAAACAGGCATTTCAAGGAAATGAAATGCATGTGTTCTGAACCCTGTGAAGGAAAAGAGGAATGTGTAATACACCAACAAACCTTCTCCTTGAAAAGAAAACTGCTCAACTGTTGCTTTTTGACAACAGTTCTCTCTCAGGAACTTGAGAAAGAGTAATGTTTAGTTATGCTTCAGTCTGTATGAATTGTCTCTAGAAGCAGTGGCTAGTTATTCATCAAGGGCCTTCCTTCTCAGGTAACAGAAGAAGTAAAAAAAGGCAGGCTGTAACTACTTTCAATTGAATTACCCAATCTGCAAGCTTGTATTATATCAGGTTACTTAAAAGGAGGTAAAGGTAAAGGTTCCCCTCGCACATACTGTATGTGCTAGTCATTCCTGACTCTAGGGGGCGGTGCTCATCTCCGTTTCAAAGCCGAAGAGCCAGTGCTGTCCAAAGATGTCTCCATGGTCATGTGGCTGGTTAATGCCAAAGGCGCACAGAAAGCTGTTACCTTCCCACCAAAGGTGGTCCCTATTTTTCTACTTACATTTTTTACGTGCTTTCGAACTGCTAGGTTGGCAGAAGCTGGGACATGTAACGGGAGCTCACCCCGTTATGCGGTACTAGGGATTCGAACCACTGAACTGCCAACCTTTTGATCGACAAACTCAGCGTCTTAGCCACTGAGCCACTGCATCCCTAAAAAGGACTACAAAAGGCCAAAGAAATTGGAACGCTTTCACCCTCCACTCACATTCAAGTAATTTCGCTTCAGGTGTGACCCTTACACAATTAGACTATGAACTTTCCTGCGATTACTCAGGAAAGTAATCAGAGTTCTCAACAAACAACACTAGCACAAGTAACTTTTGTTCAGTATCAGTTTCAGGAACTGGTGGGCACACTGCATTGCTGGAAATGCTAGCTTTGGTGAAAGCATTTCCAGATGACCTACTGGATTCATGCTACAGAACCCATGCAGAGAAGGAGAAGGTGGAGCCTGAAAGAAAGGGGTTGTGATATTTAAAAATAGGGAAGGGAAAGACAAGTACTCACATGGTAAAAGAATCAGGGGGAGCCGAAACTCTCCTCAGGTCAACGGGCGACACTTTTTGGATGCTATAGGCAGCAGGAAATGAGTAGCCACAGCAGGAACAGCACAACAGATGGACAAACAAGAAAAAAGCCCAGACAGACAGACAGACAGAGAGAAAGAGAGAGAGAAAGACAGACAACATTTAACCAAAACAAAAGGAAAGCATTACATACAAGCTCAATGGAGATGCATATTAAGTTCTAGGGCAGCAAACCCAAAGCCAGTGATAGATACCAGCAAGCACAATGAAAGGAAATGGTGCTGGTACCACAGAATGAGGCAGCGGCAGCACAAGGAGATTCTTGTAGCATGATGTAATCTTGGAAATGGCAAGAGGTGAAGGGCTCTGATAGAGAAAGGCAGACGCTATCAGAGCAATTGATCCAAGTACCTCACCCAAAGTATGACTCAGTATTTCAAATATATTGGTATTCGGACATGCTGGTCTTTTTCAATCACCGCTACAACAATAATCCTTCAAAATGTAATGCAGAGGCCCCACTTATTGACTTTAGAGGACAAGAGAAAGGAAATATAGGTACAAGATGATGGGGGAACTGCTGTGCATATTTTGAACCCAGGCAGTTTTGAAAAGGCATTGCATTTACAGTTCATTTTATTAACAGCAGGGGTGGCTTGCTGGGGGTTCACAGGGAAAACCTTTATCTAAGATTCTGTATAGTTTGGAGAACCCCCAAATCCCAATCCTGGCTGGCCCTTCCCCTCCCAGGAATCCCCAAGTGGCCCGTTTTGGATCCAGGTAAGCACAGGGTGTGCGTGGAGGCTCAGGGAGGGTGAAAAACGGGCCTACCGGAAGTTCAGGAAAGCCAGAAACAGGCCCGTTTCCTGTCTCCAGAGGGCCTCCAAAGCCTGGGGAGGCCGTTTTCGCCCTCCCAGAGGCTCGAGGAAAGCCTCTGGAGCCCGGGGAGGGCAAACCCCCGCACCCCCGTGGTGCAGGAGGCCGACTAGGCCACACCCATCATGGCCACGCCCACCCAGCAACTGGGAAGAGAACCCCTTGCTAAAATTTTTGAAGCCCACCCCTGACTAACAGTAAATAACTGCTACCATCTCAGTATAAATGGATTCTCCACTTCCTCATTCGTCTCTCAAGCATTCCTTTCACTTCATTTTATTGTTATCAGTCCAATGGCCTTGTCATTACAACTCACAGTTTTGGATTTTGCAGCAGGGGAGAACCAAGTTTTGAGGGGGAAAAACCCCAAGATGTGTTTTCCTGAACAAAGGTCAGACAAGGCCCCAGTGGAATCAGGTGGAAGATGTCATTTGTTTAAAGAAAGCAGGTGATACAATTTCAAACAAAGCTACAAATATGCAGCTCTCTCATCACCAGCTTGCAGGGGTATGCAACATCAGCACTCTTCATATAATATATCGAGGCTCCTCTTCCTCTGATATGTCACATAAATAGAGTGACAAAGCAGCCTTTAAAACAAACTGCAAGAGTCTTGGGAAACTCTCCCAACACTACACAAAAGAAAAGAACTCAGCTCTTTTATATTATTTTTAAGTCCATTTCATTTCTTTTAAAAGCAAGTCTATGGAATTGCATTGTCCTTAAAATATGTATTAAACTTTCTCAGACCAATTTGAAGGTTCCAAAAATGTATGTATTTTTAAGACAGGATTTATGATTGCTTTACCCCAGTGGTGGGTTGCTCCCGGTTTGGGCCGGTTCGGGAGAACCGGTAGTGGTGATGATGTGACGTCACCAAACTGGTTCTCTTTGACTGGGAGCTGGGCCCTCCTACCTGCCCCCACGTTATACTTACCTTTATTTGTTGTTTTTTAGTCCAGCTGATAGGTGCGGAAGAGTGGATTGCCACACCTCAACTGGGCAGAAACCTAATGTGCTTGCATGGAGCACAAGTTCGGCATGCATGTAAGTGAAGCCACCATGCACGCAGCGATCACGCGCAAAGCGCGTGCGTGAAGAGAACCGATGATAACACCGGTTGGAACCTACCACTGCTTTACCCATATCTGAAAAGATAAAATCCAGTATGGAATACACATAGTCCTCAATTAATGCTTTTCATGGAGTCCAGAATTACAGTTGTAAGTCATTGTGGTCATTAAATAGAACGCCAAGTAACTGCGCTTGATTTTACGGCCTTTTTTGCACTGGTTGTAAAGCATTGTTTTTACCAGAAGTAATTTCCAGAAACCAGCAAAAAAACAAAAAATCACGGTCAGATGACTGTAGGATGCTATAAAAGCCATAAAGGTGAATTTGTTGCCAAGGGCCCAAAATGTGATTACTTGACCACAAGAGGAATGTGCAACTGTTACTAGACCTTCAAAATCAGGTCATAAATATCTTTTGGGGAGTCCGTCATAATTTTGAACGGTTGCTAAGGAACCAGTTGTTAAGCAAGGACAACATGCATTTACATGTTTGTGTTCCTTTTGAACAGACCCAACAAAATATTTGTTGTAGGCTCTGAAATTGGAGTAGAAAAATTTTGTTCTCTCCCTCTCTTTCTCTCTCTCTCTCTCTTTCTCTCCCACATATACATATGAAGATCAGCCAAAATTGTGCACTATCCTTACTTGCAACACCAGTACAGGTAGTCCTCGACTTACAACAATTCATTTAGTTACTGTTCAAAGTTAAACAGCACTGAAAAAAGTGACTTATGATTGTTTTTCACAGTTACAACTTTTGCAACATCTCCAGGATCATGTGATCAAAATTCAGACATTTGGCAACTGATTCATACTTATGACCGTTGCTGCATCCCAGGGTCATGTGATCCCTTTCTGCAACCTTCTGACAAGCAAAGACAATGGGGAAGCCAGATTCACTTAATAACCAAGTTACTAACTTATTAACTGCAGTGCTTCACTTAACAACCATGGCAAGCAATGTTGTAAAATGGGGCAAAGCTCACTTCAACAAAAGATCACTTAACAACATAAATTTTGGGGTCAATTGTGGTCATAAATCATAAGCCCACAGGGTGCTTAAATTTGGCCCGTGGGGCCGGGCTGGAAACAGCAAAGAACCAGTCTGCAGTTTGCTGTGCCTCTGCCAATAAAAATGGAGCTCCAGGGAGGCTGCACATGACTCCCTGCCTCCCTGTTTTCAGCTGCTATGGCCTCCGGCAGCCCTCTGCCAGTGAAAAGAAGGAAGAAGAAAGGAGAATGAAGAGGGAAGAGGAAAGGAAAAAGAAGAAAAGGAAGGAAGGAAGGAAGGAAGGAAGGAAGGAAGGAAGGAAGGAAGGAAGGAAGGAAGGAAGATTATAATGAGAGGGAGGGAGGATCTGAGGGAAATTCTGCCTTAGCACTTGGCCACCACAGATGCCCCCCTGACATGAGTGACATCGAGCTAGCCACACCCACCATGGCCACGCCCAACCCGGCCCTCCGAGGTCAAACACAATCCTGATGCGGCCCTCAATGAAATCGAGTTTGACACCCCGGCCCTTGACTATTTCACTACTTGTACAATAAGTCACACTGAAGAGGATCTGGTTTCAATCCATTAGTAATACAAATATAAAATTACATTTGAATGAACAATATCTCATTGTTCATTCAAATTATAAAAGTCTTCTCATCCCCTTTCTTGTTCAATTAAAAATGATCAGACTTACAAACACAAGAGCAGTTTACGCCGGATATATAGAGCTTTGGAGAACTGCAAAGTACATTTCATGCGTGACCTTTTTATTTTATTTTTATTCTGCTTGATGTTTAGTCAAAATGACTTGTGGGCATCAAACTTAATTCCCTCCCCCCCTTTAATTTAGCCCAAGGTCAGTAAATTATAACCTAGAGTAGGAACAAGATAAAGTTGAAAGACAACTGAAAAAAATCCATAACTAAAACTAAACATTTTTCAATGGAAAGTATCATTTGCAGATTTCTACAACTCCAACTTGGATTGCTTGGACAAAGTGATAGTTTTTAATATTGCCATTCTAAGGCTCATTCCATAATGGGTAAATTTTAAAACCAAATACACATAATTAGATTGATCATATTAATCTCCCCTTTTGATTCTGTTACTCAAAAAAAAAATCACTCTTTAAACTTTGGTCTTAAGCTCTTTGGCCACCTAATGAGAAGGAAGGACTCACTGGAGAAGAGCCTAATGCTGGGAAAGATTGAGGGCAAAAGAAGAAGATGACAGCAGAGAACGAGGTGGCTGGATGGAGTCACTGAAGCAGTCGGCGTGAGCTTAAATGGACTCCAAAGGATGGTAGAGGACAGGAAGGCCTGGAGGAACATTGTCCATGGGGTCGTGATGGGTCGGACACGACTTCACAACTAACAACAACAACAATTTTGTGCTGTTAATTAATGTTGTATTTCATTCAAATACATTCCAGGGGGATGCTGCAATGGTCCTAACTGTGAAAAATGGTCATAAGTCATTTTTTTCAGTGCTATTGTAACTTTGAATGGTCACTAAATGAACTGTTGTAAGTTGAGGACTACCTGTACTTTTCCGTCTCCCACTTGCAAACCTCCAAAAGCCACTGTGAGGAAATAATTGGGCCTTGGCCTGAGCAACGGTCCTTCCTGTATGTTCTCTTCACGGGGTCACAGGAGGCTATCGCCAATCTCAGATCGCTGCAGAGTTTATGCGTGAAACAGGAGGTTGTCTTTTGATCAGAAAATGCCTTTTTGTGAAGCTGGATGCTGATAATATAGCACTTTTCTCTTCAAAGTGACATTCCGATTATGTATCAGATTTGTATCTCCAGTCTGGCAAAATTGCAGTATTGTCACTACAAAGCCAATTTTCATTTATTTCATTTATCACCACATTTTCCCCCCTCCTAGAAATAGCGGGAAGTGAAGGGCACCTCATTCTTTTCCTGGATTAATTCAGTCCGATGCAGAACATAAAGGGACACAAAAGATAAAAGCCATAAACAAATATATATATTTTCTTCCCTATGTGGATGCAAACATAGAGATTGGTGGCACTTAAATCTTTTTTTCTGGAATGGCAAAATTATCTTTGCAAAAATTGCTTATCAATATGCAC